ACATGGTTACCTATGCTAAAATCTGAAGTAGACCAAAGAAACATACACCCAAATTAAATTTACACCAAAATTATTAATTAACATTACCTTTATTATTTTAAACAATGAGATTAAGTCAAAGTCACATAACTGACAATTTGCACAAACGAATTATCAGAGCGAATTTTGATATATTATATTATCCTACTATTGTTACACAATTTATTAACATACTCTTTTTTAGGTTCATTTAGGTTCTTTTGATAACGATAGCAGAAAATAGCTATCGAAACGTCAAGGTAATTTTTCAAATTAATTTCTCTACTAATTGGAATTTTCTCTTACAGCTTGAGCCTGTGTCGCAGGATACCCTCTAGGTGATAGTTCTTGATTACTTTTTGATAAATAATTCGTTCTTATTGCGAAATAGGAGCACTATTTATCAATCTGTAATAAAGGACGAGAGGAAATTCTGTCTTTTTTAAAGACAAAAATTTTTGAGGCGAAATACCCAAAAAGAAGTTTGTAAAAAATAAGTTTTTAATTATTTTGACGTTTATGACAAAACCATTGGTTTCTCCTGACCCACTCCCCTCCACCCAAGAGAGCCCACAATACACATCCCTGTCTGACACCTCGACACGTCTTGATCTCATCACGTCTTGATCTCCTCACTCAGAGCTTCTCCGACTTATACTCGTGCTGTTTGGTGCCAATAGAGATTAGTTGTTATGTTAAGTTTTGAGTGTTGGTCCTTATCAAATGCCATTTGAAAGTCGATAAAGCAGATGTACATATCATGATTCATATATAGGCATCTCTGTCTGAATACGTTTTGTCCGAAGAGCGCTTCTCTTGTTCCCACGCCCTTCCTAAAACCCATTTGAGTGTCACTGATGTCTTGTTCTGATTCCTTATAAATTCGGTTATGTATGATCTTTAAAAATATTTTCAAAGTGTGACTCATTAGGGCAATGACTCTGTGATCCGAACAATCTCCGGCTTTATTTTTCTTTGACAGAGTCACGAATGTTGAGGCTAGCCAATCGCTAAGAATTCTGCCGTCTCATAAATGTTGTTGAACAGTTATAGAATAGAATATACAGGGTTGCTCATTAGTGCGTCAAAGTGCGATATCTCAGTAAATATGAACTTTACGAGAAAATACGTCCTACGAAAGTTTTTCATCTTTAAAAGGTCCACATTTTAAAATTACTTTCCAATATACGGGTTCCATCATAAACGTGTGGTAGTTACCAACTTTGGTTTTTTAAATGGAACTGCCCCTTTTTTCATTCATTTTCAGATTTGTCGTCAAAATTTAAGTTAAGTTTGTGTCAAACGTTTTACCTGAAAAATTTACGATTTCCGAGTTATTCGTAAAAATGTGAAAGTTTTGACAGCTACTGGGTTCCACAGAAATCGATGCTGTACACTACCCGCTGCGAATTTTGGAAAACAGTTTTCAGCGATTCTAACAGAACATCATGATCTACGTGTAGATATGTTTTAAATTATAAGGAAATACTTCTAAACCGCGCAATTAGCCTCTAAACTTGCATGTTTTTAAA